CTGTGCCTCTTGATTGCATTTTGCCAACCCTGTGCCAGTGCATTGTTGGCTGGATTAGTCATCTTGCACAATTAGTCAGTTCTGTGCCTGCCTCGAGTATTTTGAAAGGTCTAGGTTATTCCCTGTTTGAAAGGTGAATTCTTGGACGCCTTTCTCAGGCTGCTTTTCTTGCTAGGGAGCCAGAGTTTGCCCTTTGCCCATCCCTTCCCACACTCGTCCATTTCTAAATAGCTGCCTAGCCTTGTGGAAGAACTGCAACTTCTGGTCTTTCCTTATTTATTATGAATTAAATAAATAAAGTTTATGTATCAACACAACTATAAATATACAGCTGGTTTTGATCTTTAAAGGATTTTAAGATCAAAACCAACCTTATTTATTTACTAATTTATAGTTTATCTTTCTAACTCAAGGTGGATCACACAGTTAAACAGTGAAGCAAAGACAATATAAAACATACAACCAACAGTGATTAAGACTAGATTACAATGTTAGAGAACAATGAGAGCGTATAATATGTACCATATAGCAATGAAAGTCTATAATATCTACCATATAGCAATATAGTACGAACAGAGTAACAGAACTGTTCTGTAGAATTGAAGAATGATGCAAGCAAAATGGTGTAATTACCTACAAGAAGCAAACAAAAATTTTATATAGTGCTTATGACCAATGCTCCCTCTAAGCTGTGGAGTCTTGTGAGCAAAAATTCTACTTTGAGAGCTACTGACATTAAAGTTGTAAGTGAGCAATTTGGCTGTCCTTCCTGAGCTAAGACAAAAATGTGTGAACCGGAGGCTAAAAAACTGAGCTAGCTCACACTAACTCAGCTTAGATGGAACAATGCTTATGACCATTAACTTTCTTCAGATTTGTAGGGCTGGGTTGCCTGCTTTGTCTGTCAACAGTTTACACAAAGGGCGTATAGCAATGGAGGAATATTGCTCTTTTGTTTAGGAGCGCTGTTGGTAGTGCAGGGACTGTGCAAGTGAGCAGATACAAATGTCAACTGTGAACTTAACATCTCTGGTGTTGTTGTTGGTTTTTTTGGCCTCCCGGAGGGGATTTTTTTATTGCATTTTTATAAAGGCTACAAACTACAACAGAAATAGGGAAGGGGACTACATTAAGGGATAAAGAAAAGATACCCACTACTATCTAAAAACCCAAGAGAGGAGATCATCTAGTTAGCTTGGCACATGTTATCTCTCAATCACGCTAATCCCATTATGAACTGATTCAACTATAGTATTATCTTTTTCATATCTTAACTATCACTGTTAATCCGAACGACCCCTAAGCATCTAGTATTAAAAATACGTTTTTCAAAGGCACAATTCAGAGTCCTTCAGCCTTCATTTCCCCTTGCCCAGTCTCTTCCGCAGTTTATAAGGACTTTTAGGGGCGGCTGCCCCTTTCTCTGATAGAGAGTCCTCTCCGGAAGACCCCGAGTCCAGCTCGCCGCTGGACTTACTGTCCATCCCTTCTTTTTCTTTCTCCTCTGGCTCTCCCATCTGGACTCTCAAAAATTTCCATGCTTTCTGAACAGAGTCAATCTTTTCCTTTTTATCCTTGATTTTGAAGATCACGTCTTCTGGTGTTAGCAATCTGTATCCAATTGCGTTTGTCTGGAGAAAAAGAATTAAATCTTTGTACTTCTTTCTCCTTTGTCTTATTTCAAATGGAATGTCTTTTAGGACTCTGATAGCATTATCTCCAACTTTCAAAGGAGCTCCAGATGCCGCTTTCAAGATTGCATCCCTCACACATCTCTTCGAGAATCTTATCACTATTTCCCCAGGCAGATTGTTTTTCTTTATATATCCTGAATATGACCTGTAGGCCACATCCATATCGCTCAGCAAAGATTCCGCCTTCATCTCTGTCATTGGGGCCAATAATTCACTCATCTTCTCCTTCAGATTCTCTCCTTTAGTCTCTGGAAGGCCCTGAAAGCGAAGAATCAAATTAGCTTTTTTCATTTGTAGTTGTAACAGCTGATCTTCTGTGGAGATTTGCTTCTTTTCCAGCTTTTGTACTTTCTTCTTTACCTTTTGTAAAGTGGCGTCCACTTCTTTCACCTTCTCAGCTGTTTGATTCATCATTTTAAGTGTCTCACTCAACTGTGTTTGCTGGTTGGTGATACAGTGATTCATTGTTGACAGCTGCTGCTTGAGATTATTCATCTGGTCCAGCAGAAGGCACATGGATTCCACCAATGTCTTTGCCAGCTCGCTGGTTGCTTCCAGTCTTGGGCTCTCAGTCCCTATCGCTTTTAAAAGTTTCTCTTTCTCCGTCCTCTTCCCCACCATCTTTGTGGATTGTTTACTTTAACTGATATTTTTAAAGTCTCTGAATATGTGCTTGTACGCTCAAACTCGCCTTGGTAAGTCTTTATTAACAGTTTTATTCGCTTTTTCTTCCGCTCCCCCCTCCAATTCGGTTTTAAGTACGTGTGTTTGGGAGGCGTCCCTCCCCCGCTCGCCTCACTTTCTGTTCAGTGGGGGGTTTGGGGAGCTTTCTTTTCCTTTTATTTAAACGCTTAGATTGAACTCACATTCATAGTTGGTCCTCAGACCTCATTTAAGCTCTGTTTCTTTCATTCGCCCTCCTGCGCTTGCCCCGGTCAGCGTCACTTGGTTCCATTCGGTCTCATAGCACGAAGAACCTTCGGGACGGAGAGGCGCCTCAATTCCCCGGCATCGCGTCGGCGAACAGGCAACCCCTCGAGAGTCCCATGGCCAGAGCCCCTTCAGCCGGGTCTCTGGGGGGGTGACGATCCTGTGCACCCCCTCCTTCGGCCAGAGCGCAGCTTCACCTCCGGGAGGTCCGGGAGGTGCGACTGCTCAGCGCACCGCCATAAACCGGAAACCAACATCTCTGGTGTTATGTTAGAACTGTGGAGAAATTTGTACAGGCAGTGAACAATCCCACATCCCAGTACTAGACACTGCTTGGGTTGTACCTCCAAACCATGGCTCCTTTGGCCTTTTGTCCTATGTCAGAGCTCTCTCAGCCCCACCTACCTCACAGGGTGTCTGTTGTGGGGAGGGGAAGGGAAAGGAGTTTGTAAGCCTCTCTGAGACTCCTTTGGGTAGTGAAGGGCGGGGTATAAATTCTCCTCCTCTTCCTCCTCTTCCTCTTCTTCTTTGGAAAGAGTAACCCTGACCTACACTATCGGGCTGTTGTATGGGTCTGAGATTTAATGATTTAGGCAACATGTAGGCTTCCTCACCAGAGACTTGATCAAGGTAGCTCAGGAAAGCCCACTGGCAAGGGAGGGCAGGATAGAAATGTAATAAAATAAATAAATAAAAACACAATAAGATAAATCAATGTAAGAATTATCAGTAATAAAACAATCCATGAAAACATGAGAGGAGAGTCCTCAGGCTAGAAACAGGCCTTCACACATCTTCCAATTAAGAGATATTTTGGCTGGCACTTTAAGGACACTAAGATATACATGCTTGGAACCTGTTCAGTGAACTCTTGCAGATATAGGCGCTCTAAACGCAAGCCCGCCTTTCCTCCCAGGAGGTGTGGATGGGGTTATTTTCATTTTACCCTAATTCTCTGAGCCGCTTGCCTAAGGTCTGAACCCGGATTTCCTACATCAAAACCAAACATTCCAGCCACTGCACACCCCAGCTTTAATGAGGGTTGTTACGAAAAGCTTAAATTCACCAAAACAATTAGGCTCGCTGTAAAAGCAGAGATAGAAACAATGTTAATAATGCCCAGTGGCAGTGTTTGACCCAGATTTTGTGGGTTGGTTTTAAGTACAGAAGTCCTGCCGAATTGCCTACATCTTGTTTAAGCTATGAAGTCTGCCCCCCCCCTCCCCCCCCCCCCCCCCCATCACAGCCCTGCTGATGTTTCTGCACAGTAATTGTAGGTGAGGCATAGGCTTGGTGCTTCTATTCTTAACATATTTTCCAGAGCAAACAGCATGCTAGATTCTTTGTAGGGTGCCAAAAGATAAAGGGAGAGGAAGGACAAAGGGCTTCGAAAGGAATTTCAGAAATACAATAGAAATGTTACCTGACGCATAAGAAGTAAACTGTTACAGACAAACTTTGTGATGGAAGCTGTTCTGTCGGAAATGAAAAATAAAATTTTAGTGGCAACCCTGAAATGTCAAGAGGTCCTTCTCTTGTGAAGGAAGCCATCAAAAGCTATGTTAATAAATGTTTCTCATAATACTAGTGTGGGGGTGTGTGTGTGGGGGGGGTGTCACCCAATGAAATTGATCAGCATTTGGCTCGGGGCAGATGAAAGTGGTTTGCTACCTGGCACATGGTTCCATTTAGCATTGCTACCACAATGTGCAGTGCTGTCAGCTAGATGGTTTTCAAAAGAGGTTGAACAGCTTCACTTAAGATGGAGAGAGACTACTAGTTGCTGGGGGTGGGGGGCAGGGAACTGATGGCCTTGATGTCCTGTTTGGGGGGCATCTAGGTATCTTTGGTTGCCTGATGTTGGAAGAATTATTTTGGGCTGGATGTTCTGATCAAACGTAGTTGTCCTTATTTTCTTTGTTGTTGTTGTTGTTCAGTTGCACAGTCAAGTCTGACTCTTCACGATCCCATGGTCCACATCACGCCAGGCCCTCCTGTCCACCGTTGTCCTCTGGAGTGTGTGCAACTTATTTTCTAATGGGAAGCAAATCAACAGTTTGCCAGGAAACCATACTTAATTATTTACTTCCTTTATAATCCCCCTTTCTCTGAGTCTTGAGGTATGTAGGACATACAATAGCCAATGCAGTAAGACTAGATTACAAAATTAAAAAATGATGCAGTAAAAAAAAGGTAATCCAGTAACCTACAAGGAGAACATAGAAGTCATTTGCTCTTTGGACAGGAATAACTTTTTTTCTTTGCCACTGTGCAGCCAGCCAAAGAGTCAACTCTTAGCTGCAAGCCGTTGGCCCCCTGGGTTGCCACAACTGTTCAGAACTGCCTACATTCTTCTTCCTTGTCATTGCTTCGCAGGACAGTCTTGGTGGCAACAGCAAAACAGCTATGGTTGCAACAGTCAGCCCCGCAGCAGATAATTATGATGAGACACTTTCCACCCTGAGGTACGCTGACCGGGCCAAGAATATTGTGAACCACGCTGTGGTGAACGAAGACCCCAATGCTCGCATCATCCGAGAACTGCGGGAGGAGGTGGAGAAACTCAGGGAGCAACTTACCAAAGCAGAGGTACCTCTTGCCAGTGTAGTTGTACTTGGGCTTGTGATGTTTGGTGTGTGTACAAAAAAGCACAAAGTGCGTGGCTGTAAGGTGAAATTATTATAAGCACAGTGATCTGTTAGAGTATCAGAAACACTGTTTATAGAATAAACTTAATTCATATATTCACCAAAGTCCCAAAGGTTTCTTGTATAAAATGATACATAAAGAACAGCAATGTATTATAGCCAGTTCAAGAGAATCATTAAGATTCTCAGAAGTCCAGTTCCAATATTTCTGAAGGAATGATTACAAGAGAATCATTAAGATTCTCAGAAGTCCAGTTCCAATATTTCTGAAGGAATAATTGAAGTGTAAATCCCATTCATTTTCCCTTGAATAAATAAGATGAACCTTTTCTGGATAAGATGAAACAGCTTCCCTCTTCAAGATGAATGATCCTTTTTCCAAATGAAAGATCACTCTATCCAGATAAAAAGCATTTTTCTAAAAGAATAAATATTTTTCCAGATGAAAGGTAGCTCTTTCCAGATAAAAAGGACAGGTTGTGGGCTCTGCTCCCATTTCGATTAGACTCTTCATCAGTAATAATTTCAATCAAAAGATAAGGAATACTGCCAACTGATCACACAATAACAACATCTTACAATCATATTAATAGAAAAGAGACTAACCTTTCATATCCAAATACAATTAATCAGCAAGTTCCCAAAATCCCAATATGATAGTCATAAACTGTTCCTGTTAGAAGGATAATTATATAACTATTCCCAATTGCTTGAAAACCAAACTCGTAATAATATACCAGAGAAAGTTGCATGCCTGTTGTAGAGACCATCGTATGATAAAACTTTTAAAGTCACAGTGGATTATTATACAACATAATTAAATATGAGTTGAAATCATATTTTTCATTTAAACCATTTGGAACCAAAGACTGTAAAGTGTACATCTAATATGTCTCATGTTGTTGTAAATGTCTAGTAGTATCCAATTGATTATAAGGATGTTTGATCTCTTTTTCTGTAACTACAAATTTAAAGTCATATGGTTTGTGGTTCATTGTTCTAAAATATAAAACCAAAGGGGTCACCAACTCTCCCTATCTGATGGTATATTGGTGTTCTGCTATGTGTGTACGTATCGGGCAAGTCATCATACCCACATATAGTTATGTGCAGGGACATATCAGAACATAAACTACACCTGTGGAACTACAGTCTGAGAAATGCGTTAGCCGAAGCGTATGGCTATCAACTGGATGTTTGAATATATGTGTCTCCAGTGCCTGACCACAACTTATACAACCTCCACATCTAAAGTGTCCTGTTCTCCTTGGTCAGGTTCTCTTTATTTGTACATCAGTGTGAACCAATATGTCTCTTAAGAGATCTTGTCCTCCTATAACCAACTCTAGGAGGAGATTCACATCCAGAAATATGTTTTACAATATGCCAATGACGATGTATGATCATTCTGATTCTACTTTTTTTGTTGCTGCTTACAATTTTTGGTCCATCATTTGAATTGCTCGACTTTTAATTTCATTTAAATTTATTAGCAGCCATTTTTTATGCAAAGAAATGTCAATGATTTAAATTACAAATATTTACAAAAGCCCCTTGCTGGTGGTGGAGGCCACCTGAGAAGAAGCATTTCCCTTTTTCTTTTCTCACAGGAAGAAACGTCTCTTCTGTGAGGCTGCCCACTGTTGTACGGGCATGCATCTGTAATGCGTGTGTGCTTACTCCCCTTTGGAATAGTTTTTATTTGGTCCTTAGGTATGGTTGCATGGCATGCGATGCAGTAACTCTGCTGAAGTGAGGCGGATTTGAGTCTAGGCAGTGAGGACATAGAAGGGCCGCACCTATCACAGAGATAAAAATTGGCAGAAGAGCCAGTGGTGCAATGAAGAAGAATATTTATTGTTCGAGGGGGGGGGGAACATGTAGGGATTTTTTTTTACCTGGACAATAAATATTTTTCACTGCACCACTGGCTCGTTTACCTCTTGACTCTAGGCAGTGCCTAGATGGGTAGACCTCCTGGGAATCCTACGCAAGCCGCCTTGGTTTCCGTGATGAAAGAATGCAGTAAATACAATACGCCATGTATGCAAAATCCACATGACTGAACAACTTAAGATTTCTTCAGTCAAGTGACAGCCCTGTAATTGACATCTCATTAAAGAGATCCCGTGAAGTTGTTTGGTCTTGCTGTACCTCTTAGCCATCCCTCGTGGGGCGTTTCGGCGCTTTGTTTATCCTGTTTGTTTTCTAAAAATTGCTCCAAGTTCTTGGATTGATAGCCCAAGCCTGACTCCGCTGGATACCTTTTAGTTCTCTCCTGTCACAACACTAGGGAAGCAGGCAAGCCTAGCCAAGCTTTGGTGGCCCACACATTTTAAAGAAATGTTTTCTAAGGGCCGTGTCTGTGCTGGATTTCCTTTTGAGCAAGTAAGGGCAGGTTTGTCCCTCTTTGCTCTGATAAATTCCTCTGTGTGTGCATTGTCCCCCATGTGCAAGTGGCGGCACAGGGTTTAATTTTGCAAGTGAGCACCCCATTACTAAGATGGCTCTATACTGCTGGTTTGAACTCACTTGACCTTAGAGTTCAGCCTGTCCCTTCTCTATTGCAAACAGAGAGGATGCAACTTGTTCCTGTACACATTCCTGGCAGGGAGACATTCTGCAGTTTTTCTGCACAAGCCTGTGACTTTTCTCGTGAGGAAAGGCTGCAGCTTGTTCTTATCACCCTGCATGTCCACCTGAGAAAAATCCCCTCATGAAGAAGGGTCTGCAACCTGCCGTGCATGCAGTAGTAGCTAAAAGGAGCCTCCAGGTTCACAGGCAGTGTATCTCTGAAAGCCAGTTGCAGAGAACAAATGCTGGGGATGGGCTGTTGCGTTTCGGAGCTTCTCAAAAGCATCTGAGAGGCATCCACGCTCTAGGAAACAGGATGCTGGGTTAGACAGAGCTTTGGACCTCATCCAGCAATGGGTTTTTATTGTGTGTTTATGAGAAGAGCAACTTGATTGCCTCCCCCCCCCCCCCCCCCCGCAATGAGCAAATCCACTGGTAGGCTTGGGAGCAAGGCTCTGTGTGGTGATGATCCTGTTACCATGCGGAGCACCGCCGGGGAAGTTACCATCTCTTTCTGCACAGCAACACTTCAGTGGCACTGCCCGGATGAGCCACAGACATATACTCCTTTTCCTTGGGGAAACAACCAGCAAGGTGTGACAATAATAGTTAAGGTCTGACAATAAGAGTAAGGCGGACATTGTTCTTGAACTGGGAGAAGGCTGTCTGTGTGAGTTTGTGGTTCTCCTTTGTATTCCGTCTTCACATGACCTTCTGTGAGACTGAGGCATTATTACAGCAAATAGCACCTGCGTAGCTGTAGAGCTGTGTCGACATCTGTTGAGATAGCTGGACCAAGCGCATGCTCACATGCAGCCGCAAAATAAATATTGGTCCCCATTTCAGTACCCCATATCCTGACTTTGTCCTTTGCTGTGTCCACTGAGACACAGGTTCTTTGAAGATGCAAACTGCCAAGAGCTAGACTAGGAGCACCTTTTGTTTCCTCTCCAGGCGTTCTCCCTCCCTCCATTGGAGAAAGCTGCAGATTCTAAAGACATCCCATGTAGCCATGGTTGCTAATTATCCCCTTTTAAAAATTATCCTGAGAACCTTGGGGACCCCCTTCCTGCTGCTCCCTGACATTTGTCCATCACCAGGCCACTGTCTGAGTACGAGCAAATTATGTCATCCCGATGTCCAGTTCTGTGCTAGCTTGATTTGAAGATGATGATGCTTTGCCATGGTGCCTGCAGATGACAGTCACGCCTCTTACAGTCTAGCATTTGATTTTCAAAAAGAGAGGTACCAGGACTCATGCCATCCACCCTGGGGGCCCTAGTTCTTAAATTAAGTGTGTGCAATCACCCAGGCTGTGCTCAATGCTGAGTATTATACGAAGCTGTCCATGGAGACTCACACCATTGGTCTCCACTCAGCCCAACATATTCTGCATCAACTGGCAATGGCTCTCCAAGGTCTTCAGGAGGGTTTTACAGCCCTGCTATGTCTGCTATGTCTTCAGGAGGGTTTTACAGCCCTGGTATGTTTTTCCTCTGGAGTTTCTAAAGTAGGAGTGGGGCAAAGTTTTGAGCATGTCTCTAGAATTCACCCATCGTGAGAGCTCTATTGGTTTTCTGCAGGGCTCAGATTTCGCTGTTTAGAGCCAAGCGCCTCTTCAGCCCGCTACTCTGAGCCTCAATTGGTCAAGTTAAGTTGAAAAATTTGTACAAAGTTAATTTTAGGTCATGGTTTTATATTTTGCTTTTGGGGACATTTTCTCCAGTAATCTGGTGTGACACTGAAGTGCTGAGTTGACAGCAAGGAAGCGTTTACCATGCAGGCACCCTCATTATACACTTCCATGCGTCTTGGGCATTGATTCCTGAGCACCCATCCGTGGATTGTTTTTTCAGGGTAGTAGATCGTATTAAGAACTGACGATACATCAAAAATAAATGGCGGCATTTGCAAGAAGTGACTCAATGTTTTCCTTTTTCTTTCTCTTTCCCCCCCATCCCCATTTTCTAGGCAATGAAATCTCCAGAACTAAAGGATCGCTTGGAGGAATCTGAAAAACTCATCCAAGAGATGACTGTGACCTGGGAAGAGAAGCTGCGAAAAACGGAGGAAATTGCACAGGTCTGCATGTGTTTTGTGGAGGCAGCTGAAGGCATATTCCTTCTCCCCCTCCCCTCCAGTAATCCCTTTAGAGTAGACCTTGATATTTATGGGTAATCAGGTCAATTCCTTGTCCTTTTAGGGCGTCTTCACTTAATTCCTGTGATGGGAGATTTTTCAGGAGAGATTATTTCTGTTGTTATGACTGTACAAACCTTATCCAATTCCATAATCTGAGGGGCTATTTTTTTAAAAAAATAAATCATTTGTCTGAAAGAGAGATTAATGGGATTTCATAAAAATAATTGTGCAGAGTGTTTGGCAGCCGCACGGAGTAAGTTACTGTCATTCCCATTGTGCAAATAGGAGACCTGGGAGCTGGTTCAGATGTTTAGAAAAGGCATGTAAGTGCAGCCCTTGTGGGGTTCTGCCTGCTCTGAAAGCCAGTTCAGTGGTGATATGCTTGAAAGGTCTTTGTTGTTGTCTTAGCATATGAGGGGGAAATCTAGCCTGACCTCCTCGCTGATGTGTTAGGTTAATGTGGGGATGCCCCTTCCTGGAACGTGTAGCCTTTATGGGGTTCACTGGCTGATCGAATCTGCTCTGAGGGGAATGTACTTGAGATCTGGCTATACGTGAGAGAAGTATTGTCATGTAAGGGGAGGGGATAAGGGGGAATGAAACAGAAAGACCCTGTGTTGATGAAGTCTATCTTTATGTTGAGTGGAACTGATTTATCTCAGAATTGTGGCTCTTCTCCAATTTCTGCTTTATCTCCTTAAAACAAGAATAAGTTCAAACTTTCAAGGGTGATACTTTGGTGTTTTTTTAAAATCTCTTCTTTGCATGCCTTTGGGACGTCACTTTTCTGACCGCAGGCTTGTTTGGACAGTGACTTTTGGGGGGAGTTGGGAAGGTGGGGGGCGACATGGTTCAGCTAGTACGCATGTTGGTAGGATCAGTTCTTAGATTTTTAGAGCCTGTTCAAAGACATTGGAGGCTACAATGGTAGGCCGTTAGTGCCATGTGGAGCAGATACAGGCCACAAAACAACCACTGCTTCTTTGTTTTATTTCTCAAAGTTATATTTGGCTTTAATTGTTACATCATGACCATTGCTTTGTCCACCATTCCTTTCTTGTGTATAGGGGAAGAATGCTTTGTACCTAGAACATAGATCTAGGTATTAAAACATTTATACTCCACCTTTGTCTTGCTGTCAAAGTGGCTTACAATTCCACACTAAAAGCACACACAATACTGTAAAACTCCATTAACCCCTCTCCCAAAGAAAATTCCTTACAGTGCCTCCTATTTATTTTTATTAAAATATTTATACCCCACCTTTCCTCTTGGTTCTAAGGACTGTCCCATCTTCTCAAGGAGCCCTTCACCCAGGGTGGGAGCTGCTGTTGAAAAGTACTGGACTCTAATAGGTGCCAAGCATCCAGCCTTAAATGGGGGAACAATCAGAAGGTGGTGACTGGAGGGGCCATAATTGGGGCATTGGAACATATGGGAAGAGGTGTTCCTTCAGATCTGTGGGTCCTAGGTCGTGGGCAGGAAGCGAAATTGCAAAGAAAAAGTAGACCACACTACTCAGTGTTTCCTAAGTCTCTCTTCTGTGTCATGTGCAAATACAGGATTTTCATCCTTGTTCATGTGCACACACACACAGGCTAGGCTGGCTTGGGGGTGATTGCGGTTCTTTGCCTTTTGCCTGTTGCTTGTCACATGGCTCACTTGCTGCAGAGTGATCTGGAAAGGTGTGTGTTATGGACACCTTTGGTGAGATGCAGCACAATCAGACTTAGTCTCATAAGTTATCCTGAAGAGCCAGTTGCGAGTATGCTGGCAGTGACAGTCAAAGATAAAAAGGGGGAAGGGGCAAAAGGGATTCCCCCCTCTTTTTAGGCCATATCTTTCTTTTCCTCTTTGTGAGCAGCGTCTTCATCACACTCTCCCCAGCTCACAGAATGGGAAAAGTGCATGGCGATAGTGTTTGAGCATTGCTCCAGTATGTGCTCAACTGTGCCATGGAAACTCAAAGCAAGACATCATAGAAAAACAAAGGCAAGGAATGATACACAAATGGAGTAACCAGCTGTAGCCCAGGTTAGGGTTATTAAAATAAAGTGAGCTATTAAATAAAACACATTAGCTTAAAGTAGTTTGTCAGATGGTGATTCACAGATTACTCGAACTGACTGGGAATCGGCCTGCTTGGTCCCCTCTCCCCACCCTGTGTACCGTTCACAGTGGCTGCCATTGCCCCAGGCTTGGCTAATAGGTTTCCCTGTGATGATGTGCATTTGTTTGTGTGCAAACCATAAGGGATATACGGTGGCCCGGAGTAGCATGTGACAGTTGTCTAGCACTTCACAATTGTAATGTAGATATGTTGCCTTTATAGTGTGGAGAACGTCTGCTTTAGCACATGCCGCCTTCCTTGCTTTCTGATTGGAACTTTGTTTCTCTATACAGGAGCGGCAGAAGCAGCTTGAAAGCCTTGGCATCTCTCTCCAGTCTTCCGGGATCAAAGTCGGCGATAACAAGTGCTTTCTGGTTAACTTGAATGCTGACCCTGCGCTCAATGAACTCTTGGTCTACTATTTAAAGGTGAACTCCTAGCATGAGCGGTAATTTCAGAAGACTTAGAGGTTCCTAGAAATCCAACTTGGGAGCTCTTCTATAGAGTCCATGGCCAGTAAGGAGGCACAAATGCAACTTGTAATTCTTTAGCCCTCTTAATGGATAATAGAGATGTGTACACCTAATAACAGTACTTTGAAAAGAGTGCTGTTGCACTACAAAGTGCATCTTGAGAGCAATTCGTACAATCGCCCTGCAAGGTAGGCCAGTGTAATGGATCCTCATATTGTGAACATGGTGGAGAGATAGCAGCTTGCTTAAGGTTAGCCATTGAGTACCTGTCTGATAAGCGATTTCAATGAAGCCCACCCCTCCTTCTCTTAAGTATCGTGTTACTTTGACCTATAACTAAGCATCCTTTCCAACATGGTTGCAATCCTGTAAACCTGACATTGGTGGTAGTTTGAAGTGGATCTGCAAGCCGAAGTTACAGGGGAATGGGTGGTAAGTCATGTCTTGCATTGATGCACGCATTTATGCCAAGCTGTAGTTAATGTAGGGGGGCACAGACCAGGAAAAAAAAGAGAGAGAAGGGGGTATGCATTCACAAGACTGAGTCTTGACTTGTAAAATATGGGTTTCCAGGGAATCATTATTATGCCCATCTCAGGCTTGTCTTGGAGATAGATCAGGATGGGAAGCCACGTTAGTCTGTCTGTAGTAGTAGAAAAGACAAGAGTTCAGTAGCACCTTAGAGACTAACAAAATTTGAGCAGTGATTCACGAAAGCTCATACCCTGCTATAAATTTTGTTAGTCTTTACAGTGCTACTGGACTCTTGCTCTTTTCTGCTGCTTCTGGCTTGTTTGTTGGTTACACTAAATATAACACGACCACGGAGATACTAAGTACAATAACAAAAACAAAATACACCGTGGAGAGAATGGCTTGCTCAAGGTCAAATACCACTAAAGTGTTACTTAAAGCCATATGTCTCAAACATAATAAATGAGAAAATCATGCATGGAGATTAAACTGTAAATCTTTTAGTATGATCCACATGTACTTATTGCTTATTAAAGCACAAAACTCATGAAACCGCTTTGCCATAAGGAGTGTAACGAGCCCTTGTGGGAGTATGATAAGGCATGCAAAAAATGTTAACTGTGTGGTTCCATAAAAATATATTGGCTCTGAAGAAGTAGAATCAAAACTCTCTCAGTCAACAAGAGACATCAAGCCTGGTTTCTCAGCCTCCCTGCAGACCTGAAAGTTTGGAAACTAAGAAACAGCAAAGAATATTACAGTGTTTCCAAGGACTGTATACAGCCCATTTACTGGTCTTGCTTTAGGAAGGTTTCTTTATACTTGTATATTTGTTTCACAGCTTTTGTGCTTTAATAAGCAATAAGTACATGTGGATCATACTAAAAGATTTACAGTTTAATCTCCATGCATGGTTTTCTCATTTATTATGTTTGAGACATATGCCTTTAAGTAACACTTTAGTGGTATTTGACCTTGAGCAATCCGTTCTCTCCACGGTGTACTTTGTCTGTTGGTTAGACACACACTTGTTCTCCCTTGTCTGTGTGGTGTCCTTTTTAACTATTTTGGAAACTGTCTTTAAGGACAGAAGGTGGGCCCACGGGAGTGGCTTAAGTGCCACCTCTTTAAGGAAAGCCGATATCCTCGGTTTTTGATAAGTCATTCCAAGTCCCTAGCACATTGGGACATCTAGAAGAATGCAAGGATGAGGGAGTGAAGGAGGGAGAGCCCTTAGTCGTCATCACTTTGCCGTCCGATAAGCAACAAAAGAAAGCTTCTTTTTTTTGAGGAGGCAAAGAATGTTCCAATCTGCGTAGGTGTCTGGCTCGCAGCTCAATTGGCTTTGTCAGCCCTGACCATTCTTGAGGCTGAATCTGCAAATCTGCTGCTTAATGTGACGGTGGGACCAACAGGGGCCTTGGCAACCAGACTTCAAAGGGTAACCTTGGCACACTTGCAAAGCAATCAGTTTCTTCTTGGCACCTGAATTTGTATAGGTCAGTATGCTGGGGTGGGCGGTGGGCGTGTATGCTGTCAGTTCCTGTATGCTCAGGTCAGAAAAATGTTCTGCAGTTATATGAGCAGCCTTCAGTACATGTTAAACAACTGCTGGGTGTTTCAGGCTGCATCGACTAAAGGATGAAGGGATGTTGTTCCCAGGTTCCCTACAAATGCACCAAGGCCATTGTCTTGACTGCCATATGTGGCAAGTGTGTCTCTCTAACAAACGTAGTTCAGATTTTACTCTGTAATGATAACCTTGATTGGTGACCTTTATTTATGAGCAGAATGAGTGTGTGTAAAGCCCTTTTTTGTAACTGTTCCTTCTCAGTTTTCCATCTGTGGTGGTGGGTGTCGCTTCCAAAATTTGACCCCACATGAAATTTGTACATGTCATAGAGAAGTTGAAGCTTTTCACAGGGAACATGGGGGCTGCTTTCAACAAGTGTTCCCCTACCCTGGGGGCTGGATCTGAGGTGGTATAGTCAGGAAATGTATTTTTTCTGTTAGCATTTATACTCTAAAGTCTTAGCAGCTTTAATCTCTCTAGTTCTTTTTTGGCTATAGATTATCATTTTAGAAGAGCTGTATTAAAGAATATGTGTGAACTTCATTCTGGTCAACTCATTCAGATGATCCAGTCCCCAGTTAAAATTATAGCCAGGGTGGGAAAGACCTCTGAGTCCCTGACGAGATATTATCAGTAGTTTCACTAAGTATTTTGTTGTTGTTGTTGTTCAGTCGCACAGTCGAGTCCGACTCTTCGCGACCCCATGGACCAGATCACGCCAGGCCTTCTGGTCTTCCGCCGTCCTCTGAAGTTTGCTCAACAGTTTAAAACCTATACAACTGAATACTCTGAGTTTCTACTGTGTCTTAATGCACCTGTCTGAATCTTCCATAGGAACACACACTAATTGGGTCAGATAATTCCCAGGATATCCAGCTATGTGGAATGGGGATTCTGCCTGAGCATTGTATAATAGATATCACCTCAGATGGACAAGTTATGCTGACACCTAAGAAGAACACAAGGTGACTGAATGTTTCTGTTGGTATAAATTATCATATTTCTATCACTTTTTTAAAAAAATCCCGTCCTCCTTCCAAAGAGATCAGAATGACTTGCACGGGTTCCCTCTGCCTACGTTTTTATCCCCGCAACACTTACCTCTGAGGTAAGTGGAAATGATAGAGGGAGAAGTAAAAATCGCCAAGCAACACAGTGGCCAATGGAAGCGGCGAGTGGAGTGCTGGGAAGTTGGAGTTGAGAAATAACTGGAAGGAAATGGAAAGGTGACAAATCTGGGGTGGTGTCTGATAGACTTATGTGCTTGATACTGGAAATCCAGACACATTCCAGTGGAGAGTGATTGGGTAAGCCGTGTGTAGGAAATGATCAAAATGGTAAAGCTTCACTTCAGCACTCTAAAGAAATTGGAAGTTGGGAAACACATTAGAATCCCTTGTTGAGTTATAATGAAAATGATTTGGTAGGCTAAGCTCATTTTATGACTGTGTATTTTTATGGCTATTTATGATAGAAACGTTGTACTATATTTAAATATTTTTACATTATCTTTAATATTTCTAACAATTTTTAAGAAGTTTTCCAGAAGACTAGTCTCAGGACTTCCACAGTTTGATATCTGTGGTGTGATCAAAGAAGGGCACTCAACAGTTCCAAAATCACCATTAGACTTGAAGATCAATCTTGCCAGCTTCCCTGTCTTCCTTGTTAGTAACTCAAACACCAAACTCTTCAGTGTAATTTCTCTGCCAAATTTCATGAGTCTGGGTTTCCTTTTAAAGCAATCTGTCCATGTACTCCAAGTCACCCCACAAAATTCCCTCATATCCAAATTCTAGCTCTTGATGGGGCACTGCTAACACAAGCACCAACAGTGAAGAGCTTGGGTGTAACTTTGGATGCCTTGGAGGGCCAAGTCACGAATGTTGCCAGGTCCCATTCTACCATCGTCGCCAGGTCAGGCAACTGGCTCCCTACCTCTCCCCTCGCAACCTAGCCGCAGTAATCTAAGCAATGGTCACCTCCAGGTTGGACTACTGTAACTCACTTTATGCTGGGCTTCCATTGAGACTGATCCAGAAGCTTCAGCTGGTCCAGGATGTGGCAGCACATGTTTTAACAAGGACACCATTGAGAGCACACATACAACCAGTGGGCCACCAACTGCAATGGCTTCCAGTTAAATACTGGGCGAGGTTCAAGGTGTTGGGTCTAACCTTTAAAGCCCTTTGTAGTCTGGAACCAACATACCTTCAGATCCGTTTCCCCCAATACATCCCCCAAAGAGCATTACACTCTAGATCAACATCTAACGGTGATCCCTGGCCTGAAGGAAGTCCGCCTAGCCTCGACCAGGGTCAGAGCTTTCTCAGCTGTGGCCTCCGGCCTGGTGGAACAATCTCTTGAGTGAGATCCGTGCCCTGCAGGACTTAATGCAGTTCCGCAGGGCCTGTAAAACGAAGACCTGCCAGGCCTATGGTTGAGGCAGCGGGAACCCAAACTGTATTGGCCTCACCCTGCTCTGCTCTGTTTTACTCCATCTGCATTGTTTCCATCTGACATTGATCTTGTCTGCCCGCCCCCTCTCAGCTTTAATTACATCTACCGGCACACACATGGGGAGCCCGGGAGTATTGGTTCCATCGATAGTGTAAATTGAGATATTGAATTTTAAATTGTTATGTTTTAATTGGTTGGTATTATGTTGTGTATATATTGTTGTAACCCACCTTGAGCCCATTTGTGGGGGAGGGAGGGCTAAAAGCCAAATAAAATTTAAAAATAAAATAAATACTAAACAGTCCCGGGGCTCCATGATTCACTTACCTAGCTTCTAATAAACTTTTCTGTGCCCCTCTCCTCCCCAAAAAAGAGGGATCCAGAAAGATCCAGGTTCCATAGACTCTTATACTATTCTTATATTTTGTGGCAAAAACCCTCAGTTGACATTACCCCACTTGCTTCTCTTCCTTCATCGCAGGACATTTGTAAATGGCACCGCTGTCTCAGGCCCCACACAACTTCACCACGGAGACAGAATTCTGTGGGGAAACAATCACTTCTTCAGGTAGGCTACTAGCTTATTTACTTGTTCTGCATAGGTGTGAGGTGAACTGATTTAGGGAGAAGGGTGTGTATGAGAAAGTTTTTTCTCTCTCCCATAACTTTAGCACCTTGGATTGCCCAGTGAAAGTGCTTGGTAATGGATTCAGGACAGATAAAGGAACATTTTCAGTTATACGGATTGATTGATGGAATTCATTGCCAGAAAATACAGCGATGGCCTTGGCCACTACCTTAGAGGGCTTTAAAAGTGGACTGGGTTTAGGAGTTTATTGCTATTAACCATGGTAGTACAATGGATCCTCCAGGGAAAGCATGTCTCAATATCCGTTGTGGGGGAAGGACAAAGCAAGAGGACTGCTGGCTTTGTTCCCTGTCTGTAGGGTTCCTGGAAACATCTGGCTGGCCACTGTTTGAAACAGGATACCAGGCTAGATAGATCCTCGGTCTGATACAGCAGAATTTCTCTTAACGCAGAATTTCAGCGTGGTTCTTTAGCTTTCCTGTGAGGCTTTCCTTTCTCACTATCTGTGGGGCAGCAAGTGCTCTGATTGAGCATTGCCTTAACGGGCAGGGAGATGGATTCATTTTGGGGCTTGATTGTAACTGCAGCAAAACCATGGACTCCGTTATATCAGAGGTCATGCAATCTGAAGTTTTATTTCCTTCGAAAAACAAAAAACCATTTTCTTGTCCTCTTGATTGTTGAAATTCGCAAGTATTAATCTGAAGGCTGAGAATCTCCTCCTTCTTTGGAGGTTTTCAGAAAGAGGTTAGATGGCTGTCTGACAGCAATGCTGATTCTGTGAACTTAGGCAGATCACGAGAAAGGAGGGCAGGAAGGGTAGCCTCAGTGCTTAGTTCTCGTGGCCCTTCTTTCTTACACACCCAGGGAAAGGCTGATCGCCACGTTGCAGTCAGGAAGCAATTTTCTCCAGGCCAGTTTGGCCAGGGATCCTGAAGGGTTGTTTTTTGCCATCTTCTGGGCATGGAGCAGGGGTCCCTGGGTGTGTGTGGGGGGAGGTATTTGTGAATTTCCTGCATTGTGCAGGGGGTTGGACTAGATGAGCCTGGAGGTCCCTTCCAACTCTATGATTCTGTAAAACAGAGTTTCACCTGCCAGGAGAGGAGGAACATCCATTCATAACAGCTGCTTGTGCCACCCTGTGCTGTAGACTGTTTCAGTCCCTAAATGAAGGCTGATGCTTAACTGAGTTACTAGTATGCTGTAAAGCATTAAATTACATACAGACATTCCCCATGGCAAAGCAGGAAATGCAAATATATGTTGCCTTTGTAGTTTGTATAATGCCTTTGTACACGCTAAACACCGTGGTGATAGGGCATTATATAACCAAGTGTACCCTGAAGTGATTCACGGGGATCTGGCTGGACTACTGCAGATTGCACGTGATGAAATACCTCTCCCCAAAAAAGAAATATCTACATGTGGAAAATCGGCATGCCAGGAAAAAGAGGAGAGCACCGGTTTGAACCCTGGCGTGCTAGTGACTGTGTGTAAGAATTTTTTTTTTTTAAATTCCGCTGTATCTGCTTTGTGAACCCTCATCTGTAATTTGGAGTTGTACAATGAAAGTACAGGTTTACCTCCTCAAGGAGGATGACAACTTCTCAGGCCTCTGAAGAGGTGAGCAGTGACTCACGGAAGCGCATCCCCTGCCACAGATTTTGTTAGCCTTCGAGGTGCTACTGGACTCTTGCGCTTTTCTTGGGCCTCTAGACTTACAGATTAACTAACATGATTGACTAACCTCTAGACTTATAGAATAACTAACATAATTAGATAACCATTGTGTTCTTTTCAAATCCTAGTTAAAATAATATTGCCAACTGAAGTGAAAGGTTTTCCTTTCCTGTGTGGAGTGTTATAGTCCTTCGAGTTGTTCATTATCCAGTATGGCCAAGATGTTTTGGGGTTTTTTAAAAATAAAACTAGTTTTATTAACACTCTCCTCCACCACAGTTCACAGAGCCGAGCGGCACAGGTGGGAGCTTCTGAAATAGAGGATGTTTCCGGACGGGGGGGGGGCTTTGCCGATGGGTGGCTTGGCTGCCGCCAAACCCTTCACTCAGTCCAGCGGTGGCCGCAGTGTGGGGCTGTGCAGACGTAATAGAGCCGCACGGCATCCTCTGCCCTTGCACTGTGGGACTGGAAGAACACTGCCTCCTTGTGGCCACACTTCTGACAGGGGTGGTCCTCCGTTCAGGGCAGAGTCGGGTCCTGGGAAACGTCAGCGATGATCTGGGTCAGTTCGTCGACCTCATGTGTGATGTTGTTGACGTAGATGCAGCTGTTGTCGGCTTCCTGCTGGTAGTCACAGTTCCGGCAAGCATACAGAAGGATCCTGTTCTCCTTGTCTTCCTTGGGATACAACATGTTTTTGCATTCCTGGCAGAAATGAATCCCCACGAAGCCTGGCTCGTAGGCCCCTTCTGACTCCATGGCAACCGCCAAGATGTTTTTGAGGCTGAAGAGTCCAGTGACACTCTCACCCACTAATTCTTACAATGCACGATCAAGGAAGGTGTTCTGGAGTGCGGCCACGATGGAGTAGATCCTGTTTAGCATGCAAAGGATCCCCTAGGTTCAGTTCCTGGCACCTTTTTATTAAAGAAACTGTCTTGGACAGTAGACGGTCACCCAGTCTTAATAGACCGTTCTGAGCCAGATAAGTCAATGGTTTGGTTCAGCATAAGGCAGCTTCTTATGTTTCTATGGACTGGACTGGAGTAACAACGTTATTTTAGCTGAACTGACCTAGCAAAACCTCCTTATGGATTAGTAGACAAGAATAAGAGTCCATTAGCACCTTAAAGACTACCAAAATTTGTGGCAGGATATAAGTTTTCGTGAGTCACTGCTCTTTTTTTCAAATACAGCCAGAATGTGAGTCCATCTGTCCTATATATTGGACAGTTGGCTTCCTTCACACAGGCACTGGGGTGGGGGAGGCAACTTTTTTTTGCTCACAGACAGCCTGCTGTCCTAAAACAGCTTCTCGCCCACAATGATAAACTACTTGACAGCAGCACAGACTCTGGTACCAAGGCCTACAACAAACCAACTTTGCTCTCATATAGATCCCAGCAACACCGTCAGTGGACCCAGCAACATACCATCTCAGGCTCCTACTCCCGCTCATCCTCTGTGATGTATGCCATCACGTGTCAGCAGTGCCCTCCCACACTCTACACTGGACAAACAGGCCAGTCCCTTCGACAAAGAATTAATAGACATAAGTCTGACATCAGGAACCACAGCATTCAAAAACCAGTGGGGGAACATTTTAACCTTCCAGGGCATTCAGTTGCTGACCTAAAAGCAGCAGTTCTCTTACAAAGGAATTTCAAAGGGAGATTAGAAAGAGTGACTGCTGAATTGCAGCTGATAACGAAGGTCAAGACAATGCATCCTCCTGTATTGAATCGAGACGTTTCCGGTCTCATTACCAATGCTGATTTCTCCCCACCTACTACCTTTCTGCATATCACACCTAATCCAATCACACCTGCTATTGTCATTTGCCTGCTTAGTGTCATTTGGCATCTGAACTCACTCCACTTTCCAATATATAGGACAGATGGACTCACATTCTAGCTGTAGCTGAAGAACTGAGCAGTAAAAGCTCATACCCTGCCACAGATTTTGCTAGTCTTCAGGATGCTACCGGACTCTTTTCTACTGCTACAAACAGACCAGCACAGCTACCCATCTTCATCTGTCTCCTTATGGATTGTTCCCCTTAAGTCCAGGCCATTCTATTTCTCCTGCTGGGCGCTATTCCCTGGGAACAGGTGACCACCCGCCTTGCCTTATGATACAGCCTTTCCTCCATTCCATCCTAAACTATCAGGTGATAGGAGGAATTTCCCCTTCTCTTTTGCTCCTTCAAGGCTAAATTTGCCAAAAAAGAAAAAAAAGGCAGAAGCTGAGGATGAAGAGAATTCGATGAAAGGAAGCAACAGCTCCGAACAGCTGGATTTAGATGGAGACAACTCCAGTGAAGTGTCCAGTGAGATCAACTTCAGCTATGAATATGCCCAGATGGAGGTGACCATGAAAGCACTCGGCGGCAATGGTAAGGGGCAGGGGTTGTCTTCAGTCTGTTTTAATTACTTTATTTATACCCCGTCTTTCTCCCCAATGGGTACCCCAAGTAACTTATATTGTTCTTCTCCATTCTATCCTCATAACAGCTGTGTGAGGTAGGTTAGGCCAGGAATGTTTGATTGGCCCAAGGTCGCCCAGTGAGCTTCCATGGCAGACCGTGGATTCAAACCTGAGTCTCTCAGATCCTAGTTGGACACTCTAACAACTACGCCACACTGGCTTTATGTATGTGCATCAGTGCATGACGGCATATTCTCTGCAGTTGCTTTCAAAAGTAACTTAGGCTGGAATATGGCTTTAAATGTTTGGGTAGTTTCCACACCTTCTGCCTTTTGGGGAACCTTTTCTACATCACTTTGCCTATCAAGATGCCCTTGCCTGTCTGCCATTAAAACCCTCTACATGTAGAATATTCTGGGGATAGGTGTCTTGGCTAGGGTTGCCAAGTGGCACTTACCTCCTCCGCAGGGGACTCCTGGCTGGCTCCTGGTGTGCGCGCCGCTTGCACGTCACTAGGAAGTGACGTTATGACGCCGGGCATGCTGGGGGTGGGACCACGACCATACAAGGGAAAACCATAGAGTTTTCTCTTGTATGGCTGTGGCCCCGCCCCCAGCGTGCCCGGCGTCATAACGTCACTTCCTGGTGACGTGCACACCGGGGTGGGGTTTCCCCCAGGGCCCGATTCCCCAGCGTTGGGGAACGGGCCTCTGGGGCGGGGGTTTCCCCGCCCCCCGGGGCGACTTGGCAGCCCTAGTCTTGGCTTATTGATCTTTTTATTGCTGCCACTGAGTATACCTAGAATGGATCCAGCTCTCATCTCTGGTTGTGGGTTGCTAAAGCAGATGGAGGTAGGATGGACCCCTAAGATGCATCTAGGGAACACCCCAGAAAACAGTTTGGAAAACCACTGATGTATGGCGGTAATCAATTATTTGTTTCATCGATGCACGTCACTAGGAAGTGACGTTATGACGCCGGGCATGCTGGGGGTGGGACCACGACCATACAAGGGAAAACCATAGAGTTTTCTCTTGTATGGCTGTGGCCCCGCCCCCAGCGTGCCCGGCGTCATAACGTCACTTCCTGGTGACGTGCACACCGGGGTGGGGTTTCCCCCAGGGCCCGATTCCCCAGCGTTGGGGAACGGGCCTCTGGGGCGGGGGTTTCCCCGCCCCCCGGGGCGACTTGGCAGCCCTAGTCTTGGCTTATTGATCTTTTTATTGCTGCCACTGAGTATACCTAGAATGGATCCAGCTCTCATCTCTGGTTGTGGGTTGCTAAAGCAGATGGAGGTAGGATGGACCCCTAAGATGCATCTAGGGAACACCCCAGAAAACAGTTTGGAAAACCACTGATGTATGGCGGTAATCAATTATTTGTTTCATCGAACATTTTGCTCCGTGACTTAAATCTCTTGCAGTCTGTCTTTCCGCACGTTCACTTTCTCTCTCCGTATCTTTCTTTTTCTCTGCCTAGATCCCATGCAGTCAGTTTTGCAGAGCCTGGAGCAGCAGCATGAAGAAGAGAAGCGGTCTGCCTTGGAGCGCCAAAGGGTTATGTATGAACACGAGCTGGAACAGCTCCGAAGACGGTTGTCTCCAGAGAAACAGCACTTCCGTTCTATGGACAGGTTCTCCTGCCATTCTCCCAATGCTCAGCAACGATTACGACAGTGGGCAGAAGAGAGGTGGGTGAAAAGGATGTTTGTTTATTTATTGCCAGGGCAGGTTCAGGGCGGCACACACAGAATATATTGAGCAATTAAAACAGGAGAATAGAATAAAATCACAACAATATAAATATAAAAACATAACACAAAGTGCTAGTGAGGTTTGTATAACATAAGAACATAAGAGACGCCAATGTTGGATCAGGCCAAAGGCCCATCCAGTCCAACACTCTGTGTCACACAGTGGCCAGAAATACCAGTGCCATCAGGAGGTCCACCAGTGGGGCCAGGACATTAGAAGCCATCCCACTGTTGACCCCCCCAAGCACCAAGAAGACAGAGCATCACTTGCCCCAGAGCCCCTATCTATACCTTGTGGCTAATAGCCACTGATGGACCTCTGCCCCATATGCCTATCTAATTCCCTTTTGAAGCTGTCCATGCTTGTAGCCGCCACCACTTCCTGTGGCGGGCATTACCAGCATCCAACATAGGAATACAGTCACTATTACTATTGGGGCCAGGGCCTCAGTTTATTGGGCGCAGCTCCCTAATCAAAGGGAGTACTCTGTGCCGTGGAATATTATGGGGATTCACATTCCCCATTTAAAAAAAATAACAAAAAACAGGAAGCCCCTGCACCATTCCCTGCCATGAAGTGAAGCAATATCAGTGGAGACCGGGCCATTTAACTGTCTTTGTCCTAAAGCACAGTTGTCAGCAACCAGTCTCTTGTATGGGAGAAAATGAAAAGGCATTAAACCTGCCCTTTGCCGAGCCTGATGTCTGGCATCATATCGGATCTCCCCCTTCCCCTGAAACCTTTGCCTGGTTGCATTCCAGATAGCAGTCATTTCCTCTGCCCTGTAGAACCACTCAGAACTGAGCCAGCCCTTCTCTTCAGAGGCTTGCTTTGTCCTATGGAAATTTCGGGGGGGGGGGATGAGCCCTTGAGAAGTGGGTTAGATCATTAGCTCCAATATTTTGCTTCCATTAAAAGTACAAGAGTTACAAGATACCCTGGTCCTTTCAAATCTGGAAGGGTGTGGCACTGAAGGAGGCAACTCCAGTCCTACCCCATTCAGGGATCCCTCAGCCAATTTCTCTGAGTTACCACTTAAAAGTTGCAGTCTAGTCGCATGTTAAGAACATAAGAACATAAGAGATGCCAATGTTGGATCAGGCCAAAGGCCCATCCAGTCCAACACTCTGTATCACACAGTGGCTAGAAATACAAGTGCCATCAGGAGGTCCACCAGTGGGGCCAGGACATTAGAAGCCATCCCACTGTTGACCCCCCCAAGCACCAAGATGACAGGGCATCACTTGCCCCAGAGTCCCTATCTATACCTTGTGGCTAATAGCCACTGATGGACCTCTGCTCCATATGCTTATCTAATTCCCTTTTGAAGCCGTCCATGCTTGTAGCCGCCACCACTTCCTGTGGCAGTGAATTCCAAGTGTTAATCACTCTTTGGGTGAAGAAGTACTTCCTTTTATCCGTTCTAACGTTCTATCCGTTCTATGTTGTTGCATAGCAGATGGACAGGCCCCTCTGCAACACAGATTTACATCTGAGCAAATGCCTACTTAGCCATCTAGTATCCAAAAAGTTTTCAGCATTCTTTTGTTTAACTGGTTGCTTGTTTGTTTTCCCAAAGAGAAGAGATGCTAAACCACAGCCTGAGGAAGCTGAGGGAGCAGATTGTGAAGGCCAACTTGTACGTGAGGGAAGCCAACTTCATTGCGGAGGAGATGGACAAAAGAACGGAGTACAAGGTTACTCTGCAGATCCCAGCTTCAAGCCTGAATGCAAACAGAAAGGTGAGGCGCCCGGTACCTGCTCCACCAATATAGGCGGCTGTTCATCACGAATGGGTCCATATTTGTGCTCCAGAGTTTGTAGCAATCCAGACAACGTTGTCCTGCCATTTTCAAAAACGATATTTTATTTACTGTAGAACAGTGATTCTCACTCAGTGGCTCGGTAGCCACCTGTGGCTGTTCCGAACACTGTTCACCAGTGTGGCACCTGCCCCATATTTCAGGTAGTAGAGTCTGGCCTACTTCCCTGAAATATGAGACAGGTGCCATACTGGTAACTGATAAGGCTTGTGGTTGGTAGATGGTTCTTACCTTGAAGCAACAACCACTGGAGGAACAGGTAAGCTGCAAGCCTCTGAGGTGCAGGCCTCATGTCGGGATGGGAAGTAAAAGTGTCCATTCTCCCTCTGAGTTGGAGGACATCCTGTGTGGGTGATTCCCATCCATCATTCAGGGAGGCAGGACTTACAAAAGAACTTCCTGTTTCCTGTGGTGGGAGTCACCCTTTCCTCAGTTCTTTTCCTGCCTCAAGAGGGAGAGCAGCTCGTTAGGCTTTGCCAAACCTTTTACCTTTCTTACCTTCTTGCTAAGCTATTTCTTGTAGAGCATTAACCCTCCTTTCTTCCCCTTTTCTTTCAGACCTTTCTCTGGACGGCCTTCTATCAAAAAAAAAAAAAAAATAATAACAATACTCAAGAGGGAGAGCAGCTCGTTAGGCTTTGCCAAACCTTTTACCTTTCTTACCTTCTTGCTAAGCTATTTCTTGTAGAGCATTAACCCTCCTTTCTTCCCCTTTTCTTTCAGACCTTTCTCTGGACGGCCTTCTATCAAAA